AAGGGGGTGACTGTTGTCGGTAGGACTGATATCATTGTGATAGGAGGTGACTGTAGGCGGGAGAATCGATATCAAAACGACAGGGGGTGACAGAAGTCGGAAGAATTAATATCATAATGACAGGGGTTGACAGGAGTCGGTATTGCTGATATCATAGTGGTAGGAGGAGACTGTAGTTGGTAGGACTGATATCATTGTGATAGGGGGTGACTGTAGTCGTCAGAATTAATATCATAGTGACAGGGGGTGACAGTAGTCGGGAGAATTGATATCATAGTGACAGGGGTTGACTGTTGTCGGTATGGCTGATATAAGTGTGATAGGAGGTGACTGTTGTCGGTAGGACTGATATCATTGTGATAGGTGGTGACTGTAGTCGTCAGAATTGATATCATAGTGACAGGGGGTGACTGTTGTCGGTAGGACTGATATCATTGTGATAGGTGGTGACTGTAGTCGTCAGAATTAATATCATAGTGACAGGGGGTGACAGTAGTCGGGCGAATTGATATCATAGTGACAGGGGTTGACTGTTGTCGGTATGGCTGATATAAGTGTAATAGGAGGTGACTGTGGTCGGAAGAATTAATATCATAGTGACAGGGGGTGACAGTAGTCGGTAGAATTGATATCATAGTGACAGGGGTTGACTGTTGTCGGTATGGCTGATATAAGTGTGATAGGAGGTGACTGTTGTCGGTAGGGCTGAGATCATTGTGATAGGAGGTGACTAAAGTCGATAGAATTGATATCAAAGTGAAAAGAGGGTGACAGTAGTCGGTATGGCTGATATAAGTGTGAAAGGGGGTGACTGTTGTAGGTAGGACTGATATCATAGTGACAGGGATGACAGTATTCGGAAATATTAATATCATAGTGACATGGGATGATAGTAGTCGATATGGCTGATATAAGTCTGATAGGAGGTGACTGTTGTCGGTAGGACTGATATCATTGTGATAGGAGGTGACTGTTGTCGGTAGGACTGATATCATTGTGACAGGGATGACAGTATTCGGAAATATTAATATCAAAGTGACAGCGATTGACAGTAGTCGGTAGGACTGATATCATAGTGATAGGAGATGACTGTAGTCAGTAGGACTGATATCATTGTGATAGGAGGTGACTGTTGTCGGTAGGACTGATATCATTGTGACAGGGGTTGACAGTAGTCGGTAGGACTGATATCATAGTGATAGGAGGTGACTGTTGTCGGTAGGACTGACATCATTGTGATAGGAGGTGACTGTTGTCGGAAGGACTGTCATCATTGTGATAGGAGGTGACTGTAGTCGATATAATTGATATCATAGTGACAGGGGGTGACTGTAGTCGGAACAGTTGATATCATAGTGACAGGGGGTGATAGTAGTCGGTAGAATTGATATCATAGTGACAGGGGGTGACTGTAGTCGGTATGGTTGATATCATTGTGATAGGAGGTGACTGTAGTCGGAATAGTTGATATCATTGTGACAGGAGTGACAGTAGTCGGTATGATTGATATCAACATGTAATTTAAACAATTAAAACACAAACGCGTCTTCATGTGTTCACACCACTGTCACCTGATTACATTGTATTAGTATCTACCCATATTGCTTTTGCGCCCGTGCAGAACTAGTAGATGTTAACCCACAATCGAAAAGCCTTGATATAGTCACCAGAAATACCAATAAATTATTTATTTAAACTTTTAGCTCGTTGATGCAGGAAGCCATGCAATGACGACGTGCGGTGTTTGTACACGACAAGGTAATATTTTCGTAGTATGTTGGTTAGCGTTTCCTCCTTAACACGGTAGTGGCGGATCCGGAGACCTATACATATATATATATGACATATCGTACAGACCTCACTGTATAGTAGTATGCATTGTATAGTGTGGCAAACCTAATCCCGTTGCTATGATTTCCCGCCAATAGGGCCTAGCGGCGAGTTTATTTTGTGGATTAGCGTTGTTTACGCGTTCTCACTTTAAAAGCAGCAAACCGAATCCGCTGGCTACCATGCATAACCAAAAATCTTAAGACTCTCACCAGGGAGCTTCTATATCGGCCTAACTGTTACGATATTTTATAATGGTCCTATTTTAAGCTCACGATATATATATAGGTCATCGTACAATTATATCTCGTGCTATGTAATGGGAATTTCTGTATTTTTATAATAAGCTGGTATTTCCAATATTCTTCTATGTAAATTAAATCGAATATGTTCTTCTTTATGAAATGTTATGCACATTGTTTTACTTTTGTTAAGAGAAAGAAATATTAAATACATGTAGTCTATATAAAAAGTAATTGGACGATTCAAGGCGAAATATTCCTGTTAGAGACCGACAGTTTACACCATTAATCTCATGGCACTTACCAATTTTATATTATTGTAACAAAAAGTATGCGGTTGTGTATTTTTTTTCAAAGATAATAAATACAACAAGATCGAATCAATATACACCGAAATCTCTATCGTTAATCCAAACATTGTTGTTCTCAGCATAATAACGTAATATTAAAATTCCGAATAAGCTATGTTTCGTCGAAATTATTTGCATTTTTTGAGTACCTGTCCCAGACTCTGGATAACGTTAACTGTGTACCTTATCCGGTTAACTGCCTACCCAAGAATCCGGTATAGCGGAATTGGACTAGTCAATCGTTGGCGATCAGATAGCTTTACAGCTTAATTGGCAGAGCGTCCATCAATTAAAGAGGACCCGTGTTCGAATCCGGGTCTGGCCGTTGTATTTTAATACTTTAATATTTTAATCATTGAACCTAAGTTTATTTTTAATTGTTATCAGTATTTTAAATAAACGTATTTTATGAGCTGACATGGCCTCTTTTACTTTTTCCCCTTCGTATATTATAAAAGCAGAAAAATGATCCTTACGGCGAAGAAATATTATATACATGTCGACTTCATGGAATATAATTCACAACTATACACATTACAGTACGTAGCATCCGACAGGAGACTCGGTCGCTGAATACATAATTAAGATCACCTGTCGTTGAGGATATTTTTAGAACTATGATTCAGTAGTTTCTAGTAATTTTTTTCTATGCTGTTTTCAGGTTATGTTGAAATTTTCTTCTGAAACTGGATACTATATATGTTACTATGTAGTAACTGATCTAACAGTCGTACACACGGACAGGGCAGCACCTACTTATAACCTACCGGTCACGTGTCATAAAAACCCATTGAAACACGGCTGCAGCGTGAAGCTAGTAGAAAGACTACCGAGTACACAACAACCGGCCGGTGTGTTGACTGTGTGCATTGATCCGTTTTACTAATTCACTCTAGTGGAACGCCATAACTGCAGTTCTGAGAAGGCGTCGGTTGCAGCAGGTCGCGGACACCATACTGTATATTTGTACAGGGCTATACAGCACGTGTTGGTTTTTGTTAAAATTCAAACATGCCAAGAAGGTCTCGAGATGCTACCGAAGGGGACGGTCGTCCAGTACTGAAGCGGGGACGCTACAGCTTTCGGATGACCAGGTATGAGCTACTGGTGAAACAAATCGGGTACACATTTCGTTTACCCCCTTCATGTGGTGTTGTTTGCAGCTAATGTTCCACATAAGTTTAATACATGTAGTACCAGCACATGTGATCCAGAAGTGAACTAATCAAAATCAGTTTTTATTTCATTAAAATCTATTATCCTTTCGATTGAGCAAACCGGTATATATACATATGTGTATATGTGAGTATATACTACACATAATACATGTGTATATATTTGTATACTAACTGCTGAACATCTACAGACTAGAATATAATATAAAAAATATGCTTAGATATCAATAAATGAAAAGTAGCCCTTTTGCCCTTTATAGGGTAATATAGCAAAAAAGTCACTACAGGTGGTAAACTATATGTTGCCCTATGTAGTATATATAAGACCTTTCTGATTTTGGGGTAGACCTAGCGCGGAGCGTGGAGACAGATACGTAAAACTAGACAAGCAAATACAGGGGTCATTTCAAAAATAATTTCATACGTAGCGTATAGGGTATGTCAGAGTGTGAAGGCGCACATGTACTGACTACAGGTAAGCGAACAAGTAACATCATATGGAGATACAGATACAAAATTATGTAACCAGTCACCACAGCCGTTAGTCTTTTTCGTGGCTCAATGCGGCAGATATGTGACTGTGGTAATTGATATTTTTATATCTGAATAATCAGTTGGAAGAAGTTTGTATTTTACATATGTACCAGAGTGACAGGGATCACATTTGTAGATTAAATTTACCATCCACAAACTTCTTGGGACATGATATTTCCATATTACGAAAGAAATGTTTAACGCTAACACGGTGTCTTTTTAAATTTAGCCCACCCACCATCATCTGATGATGGGCTATTCAAATCACCCTGCGTCCGTGGTCCGTGGTCCGTGGTCCGTCCTTAAACAATTCTTGTTATCGGTATTTCCCAAGAGGTACCAGAGGGATCTTTCTCAAATTTTATATGTAGGTTCCCCTTGGTCCTTAGCTGTGCAGGGCAACTTTTGAGACTGATCGGATAAACAACATGGCCGACAGGCAGCCATCTTGGATTTTGATAGTGAAAGTTTGTTATCGCTATTCCTCAAGATTACCAGAGGGATCTTTCTCACATTTTATATGTAGGTTCCCCTTAGTCCATAGCTGTGCAGGGCAACTTTTGAGACTGATCAGGTAAACAACATGGCCGACAGGCAGCCATCTTGGATTTTTATAGTGAAAGTTTGTTATCGCTATTCCTCAAGATTACCACAGGGATCTTTCTCACATTTTATATGTAGGTTCCCCTTGGTCTCATATTGCAATGATCGATTCTATTTCGTTCACATTAAGTACTGTACTAGTAAATATGTGAGATGACAAACTCACTTTGAAGGTTGGCTTTCATACACATCAGTATTAAGTTTAGATCAAAAGTTACCTCACGGTGCATTTACTGTTAGCATGACTCGATCAAACAGATTAGAGGAAAGAAGATAAAAGATCGAACTGACAAAGAACTAATGAAGATGGTACAAAGGTGGGTGCCAAGATCCCTCTGGGATCCCTTGTTATACATGTAATAGCGTTAAGCTGAAGGTATTTGTTCCACACATTTTCGTATAGAGGTGGTTGGACAAAAGCAAGTTTAGTAGCATCCCTTCTTGGCAAAGTAACGTTTATGAATGTTCCTTCGCATCAGTAACATGATGGCGACGAAGCAACCTTTGTTATTCTGTACCCATAAAAGGAGTCTTTCACCAGGAGATATGTACCAGCGGTTACTAAACATCGAACTACTTATTAATTGATTTGTTTTTGTAAGCAAGTAAATGTTTTATGTAAAATATTGCTAAAATAAATTGATGTATGTCGATATGCGCACACGTGTATGTCATGTGTGATCAGATATTTCAAAGGAAACAAACAACAAAATACACATTTTACGCAGTTTCTTCTTAGTTTTAACATCATTGTACCTGTAAACAATACTTATGAACTTACTTATAACAAACAAATTACAAAAATCCGAAGAATCCCAAGCGGTTTGTCTTTCATTTTCAGAGATCAATTTTCGGAACTTGAAGATTTTTTTTTTTCAAACATTTTTTGGTGCCCAAAATATTCGAGTAGAAGCTTTTTTGGGGATTTTCAGCCTCAAAAAGTATCTGCGTAAATTACGTAGGTGCTCAAATTACATGGGTTTTTACGGTATTGACATATATGCTCTTGTTTATTCTCCTGAAAAATAACAACAGAAGAAAGTAGAAATTTATTCAGTTTTCTGCTATTTTCGACTTAATTTTAAATTGACAGCTTTCATGGAATTGTCCCCATGCAACACTGCCATCAACTGTAGCATGCACCGAGTCTTTGTTTTCAGTATAAACCATAATTTAAAAAAATCTTTTCTGAAAAAACCCCCAAGGTGAGGTCAAAGTTGTACATGTAATGAAAATCAGGGGATGTTACTGTAGGTAAGGAGCACAAAAATATCGTTCTCTAGTGTATTGTCGCAAGCAGGGGACAGGAATCCTTAATACAGATGAAATGAAAAATAATTTTGAGATGTTCCTGATTATACTACTCTCAGTGTCCGTCTCTGGCTCCGTTGTAGGTCTGCCTCAAAATGAGAAATGTCTAGTTACAAGTAGTAACTTCCTATAGCAAAGTGTGAGGCAAACAAAAACAAATCAAAGTACTGAAAGTTTACTTGTGAAACATCCCTATAGAGTGTATGTTGGTTTGAATCTTAGCTTTGTAGTTCCGAGATTCAAATCTTGTATGCAGCTAAGCTCCCTCTACTGAAATTATGTTACAAATACTAAATTTGACCTACATTTTATGTGTCAGTGACTTCCACATTAAAAGAAGATGTTAAGCCCATATATGGATAACTTTGAGTGCTACATGGATAATACTTGCACCAATGATGCAGCTAAGCTTGATGTAATTAACACATGTTGTGGATGCTGTATTTGACCTATATTTTATGCTTCAGTAACTGCATTAATATTCACTCCTAAAAAGAAAAATTGTTCAGTCCATATTTGGGGAAATCTAAGTGCTGCATTTACTTGCATCAGCTAGGGTTGCTATATCTCATGGGTACAATTAGGGTTGCTATATCTGGGTACAGTTAGGGTTGCTATATCTGGGTACAGTTAGGGTTGCTATATCTGGGTACAGTTAGGGTTGCTATGTCTGGGTACAGTTAGGTTTGTTATATCTGGGTACAGTTAGGGTTGCTATGTCTGGGTATAGTTAGGGTTGCTATATCTGGGTACAGTTAGGTTTTCTATATCTGGGTACAGTTAGGGTTACTATGTCTGGGTACAGTTAGGTTTGCTATGTCTGGGTACAGTTAGGGTTGCTATATCTCGGTACAGTTAGGTTTGCTATGTCTGGGTACAGTTAGGGTTGCTATGTCTGGGGACAGGTAGGGTTGCTATGTCTGGGTACAGTGAGGTTTGCTATATCTGGGTACAGTTAGGGTTGCTATTTCTGGGTACAGTTAGGGTTGCTATATCTGGGAACAGTTAGGGTTGCTATATCTGGGTACATTTAGGGTTGCTATATCTGGGTACAGTAAGGGTTGCTATATCTGGGTACAGTTAGGGGTGCTATATCTGGGTACAGTTAGGTTTGCTATGTCTGGGTACAGTTAGGGTTGCTATGTCTGGGTACAGTTAGGGTTGCTATGTCTGGGTACAGTTAGGTTTGCTATATCTGGGTACAGTTAGGGTTGCTATGTCTGGGTACAGTTAGGGTTGCTATGTCTGGGTACAGTTAGGGTTGCTATACCTGGGTACAGTTTGGAGCAAACTTAACTTGGTAGCCTAGCTAGCGCACTAGAGTTAAGGTAATAGGATTGTGTCGCCATTTCTCAGTAGAATTTATTCAAATTTTGTAGTTATATTGCTTTAATTTGAAGTAAAAAAAATTGCCACAAAAAAATATGGGTTGTCAGAATTTCAAGGATTTTAAATGGAAATTTATGTAAAAAGGAGAGAATTTTGAAAAAAAAAATGTGCAAACTAATGTCAATAAAAATGATGCTAACATAGATTAGTATTGCATTAATGTAAATCAATTTCATAAATGCTGAAATTTTGTAAAATTAATTATCTATAAACGATTAAAAATTGACATTTTATAATAAAACCATATACACATAGTAATTGCATGCAAGAGTTATCGTTCTTGAAAAACTTCACAGTAGTTAAATAGGTAGCTGGTTTCCTGAAGTACAGAAAAATGGACACTCATTGATTAAAAAACAACTGAATTAATGCCTGGATTGCTTTGCAATATTTTAATATTGAAAGAACACACTGTTCTGTCAATAATAGGCATACAAATATTCATCAGTTTAATATTAAACATTAGAATATGCGGAAATTGTGATACTGTCTCCCTGCATTGGATTTTCAACTAGAGATGTACTTCCTATTTCCGTTTAGCAATACACTCCTATGATCTTAACAAGAAAAGTGAACTTTAGTTCACTAGCTTGTGCACTGGAGTTAACACTGAAGTGAACTTGAGTTCACATTGAAGTGAACTTGAGTTCACATTGATGTGCACTGGAGTTCACATCAATGTGCACTGGACTTTAACTACAGTTCACATGTTAATTTTCTTTAATATATTATGTCTGGCCATTTCATCAGTTTATCCTAATTTCATCTATAGCATCCTTGGGCCAAGGGGACTCAATTTTGTATAAACAGTGGGTGTGACCTCCCCTGGGAGCAGAGGGACAGGACACAATAAGAGAAATAGAGGTAAACCTTTAAAATCCTTCTTATACCATAGGGATTAATGGATTTCATCCCAGTTCTGTATAAACGGTGAGTGTGACCCACAGGGGCGGGGCCAAATATGGGAAACATAGCAAATTGGGTATGGGAGTAGGGAAGGGCAATCATTTCTTAAATAAATGAGGTTGCTTCGACCCCTGAGGCCAGGGGGGCAGGGCCCTGAAGGGGAACTTAGCTAAATT